CCACACCCACACCCCCACACCCACACCTACGCCCCACACCCACACCTACACTCCACACCGACCCACACCCACACCTTCGTAAGTATGCTTGGTTTCTTGAAAATTCTTCTATGAACACACTCACACCCACCCACACCCACACCCCCAGCCACACCCACACCCACCCTACCTAAGTAGATTCTCATGGTTCATTATAAACATTCTAGATATCAATCCAAGTGATAAATATGACAAATCAGACACCTTTGTTCATCAAAAAATAATCCTGATATTCGATGTGTGCTAATTGGCATCTCTAAAGCAACAAGAAAATGTCTTAAGTATAAGACTTGAAAAGTAAATTGATAAAATGTGATTCTTAATTAATTTTATTTCATTATGGAAAGTATAAGTATGTGTAACTGAAAAATAAGCAAAGGGATAATAGTTGATTATTTTTATAATGCATTCAAAAAATAGGTATTGAGAAGTCATTTGTAATGAAAACATGTTTTTCAAAGTAAATTTCTTCGAATCAAGTCTTGTAATACGTGTTTATCTAACTAGCTACTGCCACAAAATGTCAGTTGTAAAGAGTAACGCTGTTGTAGATTGTAGCAACCACCACCACCAGCGAGTGTTGGTGCTGCAGAAAATTGTCCATTTGCATTACAACCAGTGTCAAACCCATAACATTGATAGGTATCAGCTGTCCAAATACAACAATTATTCGATGTCGTGCTTCGATATGTTTTTCCAGCAAATTGTGTTGTTATACATCCCAAAACAGCATTCGTTGCTCGACTGTAGCCAGTCGTACAATTGCCAGCTGATCCATCTAGATAATAACAGTGATTATTCCACGATACTTCATAACTCTGGCAACTAGCAACAATAGATGTTGTTGTCGTACAAGCTATGCAAAAAAAACGGCATATTCACAGATTCCGCGAAAGAAAAAAAAGACAACAGTCTGCTTAACTTACATGTTACTGCAGTACTATTACAAAAGTCCGTTGATGGCGTGATATTGGAGATAGCAGTCGTTGCAGCTGAAATAAGTTTGCATTAAAAGTATATTACAGATTTGTATCTATCTTGATCTTTCTAATAAATGTAAGTGTATGTATTGAACCTTCTTTAGTCCACCGACTCATTCACATCTATACCCTCTAATGTATTGTTGTGCAAAAAGGAGACTAACTGTATTAAATGTTTGCGTCATACTTTCTCGGGCCAAAAATATGTCTAGCAAAAATAGTATCTTTCAAAAGCAAAAGATAAGGTGATCTTCAGTTTTTGCATGTCAGGTAGCTAAATGCGTAATACATTAATTCGATTGATTTGCAGCTCCATCTCTCTTATCACGAAGAAGAAAACAGATTAATTGCTGATAACTCACTGAATGAATATATGGAGTAACTGTTATACTTTCTTAATGTCTATTTTCTTTACCTTACTTTGGTAATCTCCGAAACTTAATAGTATAAAAAGGTAAATTTGAAGTAGTCATTAGATTTATTTTTCCTCCTAGAAAGCTGTTAGCGCAATCCCTAGCGGGATTAAAAGTGTGAAACACCATAGACCTGTTGTTACCAATCAGATGGACAACATTTTCTTCCATTTGTTTACGACAGATTTGTAGCTGACCGTTTATCTGAAGCGTCAAATCTGCAGTTTCTCTGTCACGGTCTGTGATGGGTAGGAAGTTTCTCTGTCACAGTCTATGATGGGTCCGGAGGTTCTCTGTCACGGTCTGTGATGGGTAGGGAGTTTCTCTGTCACGGTCTGTGATGGGTCCAAGGGTTCACTGTCACGGTCTGTGATGGGTATGA